TCCTCCTCCCTCCTCCTCCTCCTCCTCCCTTCCCCTCCTACTTCAGCTGTTCTTCCTCAGCCTTACCTCCTTCTTCCTCCCTCTCCTTCCTCCTCCTACCTCCTCCTCCTCCTCCCTTCCTCCTCCTCCTCCCCCCTCCCCTCCTCAACTTGACTCCCCCCTCCTACTTACCGTCCTCCCCTCGTCCTAATCCTGCTACTCCTCCTCCCTTTCTCTCCTCTCCTCCTCCTCACATCCTCCCTCCTCCCCATCCTCCTCCTCATTCCTCCTCCCCTCCGCCTCCTCCTCCTCCCTCTCCTCCCCATCTCCTCCTCCCCCTCCCCCTCCTCCACTCCGCCTCCTCGTTCTCCCCCATCCTCTCCTCCCACTCCCCCTCCCCCTCCTCCACCTCCTCCTACTCCTCGGGTCGCCTGCGGGCAGAGCCCCTCGAAGAGCGCCTCGCTGCCCGCCGCCCCGCCCCTCCTCGCGCGGAAGGGGGGCGATGGGGCGTCAGCGGTCCTCGCCCCCCCTCGATCCTCCTCGATCCTCCTCGACCCTCGACCCTCGATCCTCGGTCCTCCACCTCCGCCTGGATGCGCCTCGATCCTCCTCCTCCTCCTCCTCCTCCTCCTCCTCCTCCTCCTCGGTCCAGCCTCGCTGGCCCAGGCAGGGGATCAGCTTCCCCTTGTGTTTGCTTTCTCGCAGTCTGGGGAGGCGCGCTGAGACAGCGGGCCGTTCTGGCACGTCTGTGTTCGAACCGCAATGGATGTACAGGATGCGCTGCAGCCACACTCGCGTCCTCCGCAGGCGGCCTGGGGTGCTCCAGGCGCGGCGGTGGCAAGCCTCGTGGTGCTAATCAGCAGCGCTGGTGGCAGACTGACGGGGGCCATCACTCCTCCCACGAGTCGTGATCGTCATCGGCCGCCTGGCGTGGGCGCTGCGGCTCAGAGGGACGCTGGAGCTGCGGATTTGGCGACTGCAAGTGCAACGCCACCCTGTCTCGTGCATCTTCTGCAACCAGTGCTAACGTCCACGAGGTGCTGAAGTCAAATGTAGTCTTCCGGGGAGGGTGTGGACGGCTTCGCCACCTGTGAGCGGCTCCCCAGAGCCCGATTGCGACATCGCATCCTTGCAGCAGCTCGTGGCGATCGGTGAGAAATGCGGTGACAGCAACGCAGTGGCCCACCGTAACATGTTTCCTCGACGCAGAGAGGAAGCTACCGGGCCCTCCCTTAGAAGCCACCGCGCCGCTGTCTAGAATTGTCAGAGAAGAGCGTTCACGGTTTGGAGAAACGTTTGGATCGGGAGTTGGTTTTGAATTGGCAAAGGTGAGCGTTTTTTTGTTAATTCTTTTGCCGATCGGCGCGGGCCCTCGCCCACCCCCCCTCTCCTCCCAACTGGAGCTTCCGGAGCGTCAGCAGGGGGGGAGGGGGGGTCAGCTCCTGGGGGGGGGGGGGGACAAAAAAGGGGGGGGGGGGGGGGGGGTGGGGTAGCTTCCAGCAGGGGGGGGTCCAAGGGGGGGCGGGGCAGCCAAGGGGGGACCCTCCCCCCTTTGCGAGCTCCGCCCGCGCGCGCTCTCTCAGCTGTCGGCCCAAGAGTGCGCCTCCCATGAGCGGCAGCGATGCCGCGCACAAAGCGCGGCGAGGGCGGGGGCAGTCTGCCGCCCACTGCCCGGCCCTGCTCTTGCTCAGGAGGCGGACGCTCTCGTCCTCGGGCGCGGGGCGGCCTGCGGGCCGGCCGGCGCCCTCCCCCCGCTGGGGCCGCGCGTGGATCTCTCCGGCGCCGGCCGTGCCCCCGCCGTCGCTCCGGGGCTGCCCAGGGCCATGTGCGTTGACCCGTTTGCGCTTCGGTTGTGGAAGTCGGTTAATGGAGAGGAAGCGTGCTGCCAAACAATTTCCAGATGGCATGGTTCAGCTGTGTTTCAAGTATGTTAAAGACATGGTTGCAACATCGTTAGAATATGTTATTTACACATTTTATACACATCTTTAACTCAATGATAGGATTGTCAGAGTGTCCATTGTCACGGCATCCACAACGCTTCAGACGGTCGGCGGAGAGGCCGGCTGAATCAGGATGTGTCGGCGAGCCTCCGATTTCGGTGCACTCATACTTCTCAGCGGGGACGTGCTGTGTTGGCTCTGGGCTGCTCTGACCAGTCGAAAACCTCGTGTGTGCTAGGTGCAAGTCTGACGCTACTCTGAACCAGACCATTAACTTGAGTAGGAAGGAGCGCAGGAGCTTTGACAAGTCTTCAGGCGCAGTGAATATTGCTTTGTACCGTTGGCGATTGATGCCCCGTGGCTTGCGCGCCAAGCTCGATGACGTAGCTGTCGAGCTCCTGCCCCCCATGGCGGAGGACGATGAGTTTGACGTTGACCAGGTGGCTGCTGGCCCTCCTGAACAGGGGACCGCGCACTCAGCTGATCAGCTGTGTGGTGTGGCGCAATCTTGCAGAGACGAAGATGGCAGCGCCCCGCTTGTCCCTGCACCGTCTGCGGGACCCGCGGACTCGGGCGATTCCGACTAAGTTTTGTTATCTAGTTGTTTTTGAACATCCTAGTTTTGTTATCTACCCCGCTTCGGGGCTGCGATCTCTACGTGGCAACCTAGAATGTTAAATTCTTTTTTTTTAACCCTTGTTGTTTTCAAACTCCTTGTAAGCTGGGTAGCTGCTCGATCTCTCCTGGGCGCGCCACGAAGGATAGGCCTCGTGGGTGGCTTTGCCCCTCTGCATGCTACCTTGGCGCTCTCTCGGCGCTCGCGGCCCCCGTCCTCTTGTGGCACGGCCCCCTTGGGAGGAGAGGGAGGAGGAGGAGGAGGAGGAGGAGGAGGAGGAGGAGGAGGAGGAGGAGGAGAGGAGGAGGAGGAGGAGGAGGAGGAGGAGGAGGAGGAGGAGGAGCAGGAGGAGGAGGAGGAGGAGGAGGAGGAGGAGGAGGAGGAGGAGGCTGCGCGTGCGAGTGGGTCTGTGGGGCCGGTCGCACCTTAGGTGCCCTGCAACGCCCTCGCGTTTTGTCTGCCACACCTGCAGCGCCATCCCTGTGGCGCTCACAGTATGACTTCCGAGCTCGGGCGAGCGCATCCGTTTCAGCTGCTTTTCGCCTGCGGGTCGTCGCGGCGGATTTCTCAGTGGCGCATGGTGTATTTTATTGGGCCATCTGCCTCGTCAAACGTGTTTTCAGCTGGTCTTTGCCGTCTTAAGGTCGTTGGGGCGTTATGTACAGGTGGGCCACCATGACAGCCATCTTGAGTGCGAGTGTCAATAATTCCTCCTCCTCGATCCTCCTCCTCCCCTCAGATCCAGCGTAGCGGAGAAACGCACAAGCCCAAGCCTGGGACCCACATTTCTGCGCCATCTCTCGAGCCGGATCGGCCTGTGAGGCTCCCCCCGGCCCGAATCGGAGCGCGACCGCGCCCGGCCCGAAATATTTGAGACGCCTTACGGTCGGGGCCCTGAAGATGGAACCACTTTCGTTGGGGAGGGGCTCGGTGTTCCTTGATTGTTCTGCAGTTTGCCTTCGGTTTTCCTGAGGTTTCTAATGGGAAATCGAAGTTCAACTCATGGGAGAAAGGGGCCTCGTTCCTTATTTAGGGTTCCTTGGTCGACGCCCCGACTGTAGGACTTCAGGGCCCTCCTCGATCCTGGATCCTCCTCGGTGCCCCTGCCCTCCCCGGCCCTTTCGCCCCCACCCCCCCGCGCGCCGCGCGCGGCCGGGCGCACCGGGCGGCGCTGCGGCAGAACGAAGGCGCCGTGGGCCGCCCCTGGCCGGACAACAGGTCCCGGCGCCGCCGCCGCCGGTCGTCGTCGCGGCCGCCGCCGCCGCCGCCGCCGCAGATCTCCGACCTTTTTTTTTTTTTGTTTTTTTTTTTTTGTTTGCCTTGTTTTTCATATTAAAAAAGAGAAGGAGTCCAGACGTGTTTCCTTGCATTTTTCCCGTTCTAAAGAGACCGCGCCCCGCGTCCCGCCTCCGCCTCTCCTCCTCCTCCCCCTCCTCCTCCGCCTCTGGGCTTCTGCCCTCTGCATGTCAACCATTTCGGCACACCCCTCACACGCTTCGTAGCCCCATGGGGAGCTCCA